GCTCAGCTTACCTTAATGCCTGTTTGCCTGCACACATTAATCGCCTGGAAACGTGGCGATAAAACAATGTATGCCGAGCTTTTGCCGATTGTCACATCCGATTGGTTTGACCTCCGACCTTCTGGTTGCTGTTTTAAGAGTTTTCAACTTCGATCAAGGAACAATTTCTTGAATTTGAAGGAAGAGAATGATTCAAAAGTATATCGCTTGTTTTCCCTTTTACCCAATGCTCAGGAACTTCCAAACATCAGATTCAGCCCACTCCACATGACAAGAACTGAGTCGTCTGCCCTCACTGCATGACCCATCGCCATCATTTCAGGTCTATCCGATCCCTTCACCTCATGTGGATCGAAGCCCAGTATATCCCAGACCTTTTCTTCAGCCTTACGTGGCTCAATTCTACGATAGACGAATCACAGCAACTCCGAGCCCATGACAAACCTCGAACCTGAATTTAGGACGAAAGAAAGAGACGGAGCTCGAGGAGAGGACAACGAGGGAGGGACCTCGAGCTAGAGCCGCAACGAACATCTGGCGTGTGATATCATCAGTTCCAATTTCTGTCTTCCCGAATCCGCAGGGACATGTGTAGCAATCGGAAGTGCGACCGATCCTCGGCCATCACAGGTCCAAGTATCGGATCCGAGCACCTCTCTCCAGCAGCAGGAGCAGCTTTCGCCTTTTGCCCTTGCTGTAAAGAAGGAGACACGCGTCAAGGACCGGACGCCCTGTGCAGATTCACAAACCCCCCACGCTGGAAGTGACAGTGACCATGACCCGATTTGGACTCCCGATCCGTCGCTAGCAGTCCCTAAACCTCAAAAAACGGCAGCTCATACCCCCCGGAGGCCCGGGTAACATTTAGAGAACAGATCTGCGATCAGACAAGTCAGAGGGGCTCCTTCCTCCCCCGCCCCCCTCCGCCTCCTTTTCTCGGGGAGAAAGCCCGAATTGTCCGTTGAGATCGCACATTTAAATCGCTCCGTGACAGGTCAGATTGCGAGGAACGAGCGCACACGTGTCGCCGTTATACGGCTTGCGGCGCAAAAATATCCGTCAATGACGAAGTCGGAAGTGTGGGTCTGGGATACCGCCGCCTGGCCGGATCTCGCTGCGGCTTCCGACACTTTGACACTTGGCGTGGTCTTCCGGGAGGAGTCACCACGCTCCCTACCTCGTTAACCACTTCCTGGCACTGTCGTCCACGGCGTAATGCTTGGCTGTGCGAATGCGACTGCGGATTATGAACCGGGTTCTCCTTTCCAGACGCGAGCCCTTTTCGCACCGCGTTGAGAGTCTGCGATCCGGCACATCCGGAAGGAAGGGCGGCCGGAGCACTTTAAACCGAAGTACTACTTTGAGGGGAAGGGCGAACGTCGGCTCGGTCTGTCGCTGCCGTGCTGTCCCGATCCGGCAAGATGCGAGCTGGAGACCGGTTCCGACCCACGCGGACTGTCCACCTCGGCAACATGTCAGGTCAGGTCAGGTCAGGTCATATCATGTCGACACTCTTTCTCGTGGTCCGTGAGAAAGTTAAGTGCGCTTGCAAGGTCGGATCGAACTGTTAGTTTGGTCTATGTCACGAACCTTCACTTTAAATGAAATATGATACTAAAATTATTTACTAAAATACTACTCATTCAAAAATCGTTAGAACATTACGTACGATTACTCTAATTTATACCTTTCCTATGGAAAATTTGGTTGTCAGTAGATCGCTTGAGACTCCATACTGCTGACTTATCTGGCCTACAATTCGTCGCTAAGGTCTACAGAGCTCAATGCCCAAGTCTTAATAGTCTCATCAGTATATTCCCCGACACACGACTGTGTTCTAACTCCGGTCGTGGTGGCGTTGAGTACAAATATTAATTGTTGCCGGTTTTCGTTGTCGAATGCCTAGAATGAACAAAGAAATATAAATATTCCAATCATTTGATTTCTGAGTGCAAATCTACAGTACATAAAAAAAAATTTACTCACTGCATTCCTTCATTTGAATTTCCAAATGTGTTGTCAGTGTGTTGGAAATTCAAATGAATTTCCAACACACTGATGGAAGAGAGAAAATTATTGAAAATTCAAAACCAAATTAAACTTAAGATTTCAACACTATGGAAAAGTATAAAAAATTGGAAAAGTAACTGAACTTTCTATAAGTACAAATCCTCAACATCTTTCAAACAAACACTCATAAAAAGAACCATCTTATTGATTAAGTCTAATAATGTGCCTTTCAATACAAAGTTTTTATGATAATTTTCTTTAAAGAAATAAGTCTTTTAACATATATAGATTTGATTAAAAAAAATTAAAACAACAGAAAGAAGAAACAGATTCAAATTCATTTTATTTTATTTTTAATTTAAATTATGAAAGTATAAAAAATTTTCATTATTCTTTTTGGAAATTAAAGGATTACTATTCTGTGTATTATAAAAAATTCTAAATAGATATGTGAATTTTATTATCAATGAAATATCCATCATTCATTTTACATGGACTCTTTTATATTCAACTTTATTCATTTCAAAGAACTTTAGATAAAAACTATATAATTTAGAAATATCTATTTCTTGTATTTTTCACTCTATGTTAACTTTGTTCCTACCTCAATGAACTAAAATTGAAAAAAAAATCATAATTCATAATTTGTATATATTAAAAACTTATAAAGCTTAGATAGTTAAAACTAAAAACCAAAATTTAATCTAACTTTTAGCAGTTTTTTGTTTTATTTATGTCTTGAAATCTTAAATAATTTCATATTTTGCAGTAGATTATAAATTATATTTATTGAAATAATTATTTGAAATAAAATAATTTAAAATAAAATTCTAATCAAATATACACATATATAATAAACATGGGGAGTGGAGAGTTATCGCTAGGGCTCAATGTCCCCCACCCTATGTGATTGGTCATCCTTCTCAACAGAGCACTGTGATTGGTGAGAGCTATCCTATGTTTACTAGAGCTCAGTGATATAATATTCGTTGAGAAATAGAGTAAGAATGAGAAGTAGTGCACATTAGCCTAAGATAAGTGATAATTAGCCAAAATTGAAGAATAACTAACTGCTCCTTGCAATGATACGATATTTATATATATGACATAAATTATAATGTATGCTTGAAAATTTTAATAATATATTTTTATTCTAATTTAATCACTATTGGCAATGTTCATCCTATCATTCCATTAAATTACTTTCATTCTCCTATTAAAAATATTTTTTGTAAAAATCATAACTTGTGTTGGTACATTTCACTTCATTATTTCTAATCTAATTTAAGACTGGAGCTAAATCATTCCAACTAGAACGATAAAAAATAACAATATCTTGAATTAGTTATATTTTTTGTCCAATCAAAACATGTTTTTAATGCTTCTGCATTAGAAATATAAGTTTTTATAATCACATGAACTCCAAATTGTTGCAATTTAAATCCATAGCCAATCTCAATTTTGCTCCGTCAAATTTTTTATCATTATTATCATCTACTTAACCAATTATTGTTTTGCTATTGTATACAGTAGCATTCAACAGAGTATCAAAATCCAACCCATCATTGAGACATTTAATATTACATTTGGTAACTTCCAATCATGTATTTTAACATAATTTTCATATGCTTGTCCAAAACAATTCCAAAGTTATATGTAGTGCAAATAATCAAATAACTCTGATGTAATCCCTGTCATAGAAGATAATATTCAAAAAAATTCCACTACAATGGATGAAACTAAAGTAGAAAACAAAAATTTGAATTTTTTTTATCCAATCTTGCAAGTATATGTCCAAATTATAACCTTAAACTATCGACAGCTTTTCATTTTCTAGAACTTTCGAGATTAAATCTTCAATTTTCTCACTGTTACACTTCTCTATCTCATGTTACATTTGAAATTGAAATATATATATTTATATTTATATCTCTTTGCAATAAACATGTTATTCTCTTAAAAAAAATTGACAAAAAATTATATTATTTATTTTATTTTATTAGAATCAAACATATTTTATTTTACTATTAAAAATTTTAATTTAAATCAACAAAATTTTAACAACTTACAAACTATATAATTTATCTGGTTTTTACCAAAGTTTTTTAAATAAAACACATTAATTTTGTCAAACTCGGTTAATTAACAAAAATGATATGAACAACAATAAACCAAAATTTATTTATCTATCTATTCGCATTAAGTACAACTAATATGCACTTTACATTTCATCTCAGCTCATAATGTGCAAATCCTTGACATCATATCACATTGTAGTCATTTGAAGCAAGCTACAGCTGAATACGAGATAGGAAACCTTCGAATGCTCTGCTTCTTACACGGATGACATGACCGGAAGAGGGATAGATTAAATCTCTGATGATTGACAGCTTTATTTGAGCAGAAAACACCACCACTGAGGATTTTTCGTCAAATCGTGAACCTTGTCGATTCTCTGGCCCTCAGAATGAATCTGTATTTTTCACGTGGTACCTCACTTGGGCATGTTATGGTCAGAGAGAGTAAATATTGTCACACCCGCTGGCTTCCTTTACACAATCTTTTTGTTGCGATGTATACCTCATTGCTTCGGATGATTGGGATCTCAGCTACCTTCCCGTTCCACTCTAAGCAATTAAACCGATGATGGTAAATCAATGCTTCTTGGGCGTCGGCCATAAACTCTATAACTGCACTCGGCCAAAGAGAAGCGAGGTACCATCTGTGGCACGAGGAGAGACCATCGTGTGAAGTTCGATAAGGACGAAAAACCGAGCAACTCGTTCTGGTGTGTTTGAACTGCCGTTAAAAGCATGACCCTCGGCCCGAGGGGAGAATGCTGAATCATGCACTCCTTCCACCTTTAAACCCAGAAGGTCCATCTTCTATGTCTCAGCTAGTATACAAAGCCGTTTTTCGATGTAGTTACCGGAGGGAACAGGTGTAGAGGACATTAATTTTAAATTGCTTGATTGTAACTGATGTTTAGATCGGGTTATCTATTGAGCGGGAGCACTGTCAGAAATTGAACTTACAAATTGTAGCAAATTTCTTGCTTGATTTGGATCCACAAAAAGGCCGGGGAAAATATCTTCTTGAACAACGACAGATACCAATATGCATATTTACTCCCTTCCGTCGTTTCATATGTCAAGTACATGAACTTTCTGCAAACCGGGTAGAATATCCCTAGTAAGCTGAGAATGACACATTAACTATCTTTCTAGTGCTGTGGACAACGACCAAAAGTATCGCACCTCTCCAACACAAGCAGCATATGGGTGTTGAATGTTTTCGCAGATTCGACGAGAAAATGATGCGACAAACAGCAGACCTGTGTAAATATAACACTCCGTGATGGAGACAGGAACAATAACTCGGGTGGGTACGTACAGATATGAATATACTGCAGACGCATCGGACTTGGAAGTAGCCCAAGGTATGGGGCTTCACGGCCAGCAACTGCACGCTAATAACTCTAGGGTTTCGGTGCTCTGTAAAACGCTCAAGTAACCACACCCCTAACATCCCAAGGTTCGGAAGTCAATGACGCGTTTGTACATACCGTGAACAGAAAAAATTCTTACTTAGTATAGGTGGCCAAATGACTTCGAAGGCACAATTGTAAGACCCCAACCAATACGCCCGGCAAGGCCTGCGACAAAAGAATCACCGGATAAGTATTAAAGCTTGTGCTTGTCAGATCCTCATACGGTACTGCTAAAACAGTGCACGACTTCTCGCTAAACGAAGATCACGAACCCGTTAAAAACATCAATTAACGTTGGCCCACAGCAGTATCAGCTAACGCACAGTAAACCGGCTTCAATCAGGCATGACATCTTCCTCCGCGAATCTGATTAAATTTAAACATAGAGCAAGTTAACTGGTGCGTGATCGCGAACGAATCATAGCGGGCAGTCAATTACCAGTTTCAAGAGCATTTCCGATGTAAAAATGCCAAAACTTCGAAAATATCCCTTAAGGAAACCTTGAATCTCAACCAGCCATGGCTCCCCTGCTTTGTCTAATTTCCTACTCTACGTTCAGCTGCAGTGGTAACTGCACTCTATTTTCTTCCTCGTTTTCGTTTAGGTTGACGTGTCGAAGCTTCTTCTTTATGATGATGATCACGCTTTATCGGGTCGATGATCTGACCGGCACTTTTAATAACCTGTAGACATGACAATCGTTTACAAATATGGGATCAGAGAAGTAACAAGAAACACAAACAAGTCTGAACCTGAAGAAGCCAACTGTCATTGCATAAGCTTTGATCAGTGCTGATAGAGAGCTGCACTTACAGCAGGACGGATCATATTTCGGTAAGCCTTGTCCGTATTATATTCCCGTCCAATAGGCATCCTTACACTCCGTTCATAAATCTCTCTTGACTTGAACGGAAAAGGGACGCCCGCGGAGCTAAACTTCGAAGCCTGTACAAGAATCACGTGAACCTGGAATTTTCAGCAAACCTCGCCCTCGAGAAAAATGGGAAACTTGTCTAGTTCAAGGCAAGAGTTGGCTTACCTTCTTGTCCATCCTTTCACTGATAACGACATGCTTCAACTTGGCATCCTTCCTCTTGCTTAATGCATCCTCTCTAGACTTTTGAAGTTTCTCTTGCTCCTTGAGCATCCACGCAGGTGGACCCCTTTTCTTTTGCACATGTGACCATTGGCCCCATCCAGGCAGAGTCACGGGGGCTTCACCTTGAGGTACCTCTACATCAAGAGCTTGAGCTTTCAATTGCTCAAACTCTGCTTCTACGTCATCTCCTGCAAAAGCCTGCCTGATAAGTGCTTGCTGGGACATCGCGTCACTAGCCATATCCATTTCTTCGTCACTGTCATCATCACTGAATGAGCTCGGAACTTGCTTCAAGGCTGCAACGCCCTTCTCTGCTTCCTTGTGCGAAGTTCCATTTGGGATATCCGCATTTCCCTCGACTTTGGTCCCTCCATTTGGCAGGTCGACGTGACCGTTGAGAATCACACCTTGTTTGGGTCTTCCGGCGAAACCGACAACAATCTTGTCGACAGAACTCTCCTCATGTCCCTTCGCTGTCACTGGTGGATGCATTGTCACCACACTTGTTGTCTCCACACCTGTTGTCGTCACTGGCAATGAAGTGGACTTCTTCTTTGATTTTTTCTTACGTTTACTAGCTTTACTCGATGGTAAGGCAGGAGTTTCCTTCGGTAACTCCGATGCAGGGGTAATATTTTCCACGGCAGTTTCCACCGATGCAGAAATCGTAGTTGCGATTGTTGTCAACGGACCAGAGACCTTACTGAACTCCCCAGCTTCTTCGTCAAGTTGCTTAGAAGGGACATCCACAGATTCCACGCCTGTGGAATGTGGTTTCTTGTTAAAAAAGGTCAAGAAATCAAGCCCAAAACGAGCGCCAGGTTGCTCATCTGTCTGTTGAATACTGCTGCTATCAGTCTTCATCTTCTTACTGGGAACTCCTAATACAGTTTCCCCCATGTCGACACGTCCAGCAAATGATCTCTCCAGCCGCTCATCGTCACTATCATCGACATCACTTAGCTCTGCAACTGTTCTTTCAGGCTTCTCGTTTTCCAAAGGCCTTCTCGATTCTCCAAATGATATTCTTCCACCCACGGTCGTTTCCTTTTTGGCAGCATTTTCAAGCCTGGCGTAGTCATCGTGAAGTGCAAGGATGTCACCGTCCGCTTCAGCTTGCTCTAGTTGCTCAAGAACTGCCATGGCCTCCATTTCTGCAGCCTTCTTCTTCTTGTCGATTGCTCGGGCCTGAAAGAAGAGACGAAGCAAGCTTAAAAGTTGTTGGCACAACTGCTCGTAACAGAAAGTAGGCACATTAAAAAACCGCATAAAGTCCTGCTCGACGTAAAACAATCCGTATTGACCACATCTAATTGCAAGTTATATCTATGATTGTCCATTTTACTTTTAACACATAATGTAAGCCACTATCTCCCACTGAGCAACATAGCGGCTAATGTGGAATATCCCCTCTCGTTCACAAGTTCACTTACCATGAAAGGGATAGCAAACAACCCTGTCTTCGGAACCTCGTCGTCTTCACCCTCTTCCAGTGCTTTTAAGGTAGCCACTTTAGCCTTGGCCAAAATCTTAGAATTAGGTTTGCCCAGAACCAGGCCAGTCGGCTCGTCATCATTACTTTCGTCACTACTGCTAAGATCATCATCACTGCCGCTTAACGTTGCAGAGTGGATTTTTCTAGTCAGCAGTTCATGGGTTCGAAGTTGATCTGCAATTGCGTCTCTCGTTCCGTCGTTGTCTTGTGCCTTTAGGCCACGTTTCAGTATTCTCTTTGCCCAGCGTGACTGATTTTTATGTTTCAGAGTCATACGTTCCTGCAGCAAGCAAATCAACAGTCTGCTTATCAGAGAAATGCCAACACCAGTAGCGGAGACGTTTATGATACCATGCAATTACGTTCTCTTAAGAAGGCCAAACTGATTCGATGCAAGTCCTATCCACCATTCTTATCGTGGCATTCTTTAACTTCGCGAAAACAATGTTACATGCAAGCGTGGGAGGACGGGCATAATCACGAGGTCCCAAAGAAGACGATATTATACCTCTGCTCTCAGAAACTCCTGTTTGATAGCTGCTTCTTTCGCAGCTTCTGGGTCTGCCTCCGCAAGTGCCATGTCATGTTCGGCTTTAGATCTTTCGGTCTTATTCTTCAGCTTATGGAAAGTCTTGGACTTGATTTTCCTGACACGCTTCGCTTTCAATTCGTGTCTGAACAAGAGATTCCGCATTTTGGAAAGCCTTTCTTGTCGCTCCCGAACTTCTTCGACGGTTAACTGATGGCAAAGGTACCCAATTAGTAATCTTGGGACACCATCTTACTGACAGAGTCAACACACATTAAGCCAAGGTATAGGACCTGATCCTGCTAGGAACTGGGAAACAAAATGACTCCTGGCAGACATATCAAAGCTGCACATGTTTCAAGCCTGCACACAAGCTTCATAAAGCGCAAAGTGAAGTGGACAGGGCATTCACTACAACTAAGAGCTCAGGAAATGTAGGTTCAAAGTGTAAAGAAGAAATAGTAGCAAAGAGTACAAAATAACACATGGTTCGTTGTAGTCCTTGTAATAGCAGATCCAAGCAAAGTGAACTATAGAAGACATGACTAGAAGAAGATCACTAGAGATATGAAAAGTGTCCCTCTGGCAAGGTAGGCCTAAAATACTGGGGATGGGTACTTGAAGCAATCTAACGCAAGGGGCACAAAGAAAACACCTGTTACGTGCTGAGGAGGAGAATTAAAACTCAAACCTTATTCAATTGAAGATTTTCTGCCTCCTCTATGTCCTTAGCTTCCATTAGCTTGCTCTTATTCAGTAAACTCTTAATTTCCTTTTCAAAATCTGTGGTTGCTCTGAAAGTTGAGGCAAGAGTAGCGGTAGTAAGTGCGGGCGTTTCTTCCCTTTTGTTGAACACAAGAGTTGGAGCTTCCCTATTCCTCTTGACAAGATTTTGCCAACCACTTATATCCCTACTTGTTTCCTTGTACCCTGCTTGTCTATCTACCCTATCCTGAACAACTTTAGGCAACGGTGCTTGCACAGGAGCTCCCCGACTTTGCAACTCTTGCATTCTCTTGCGAAGAGTACCGAAACCCGCAGCATCGTGAAGAGGATTCATCAAGTCCTCCACGGAAATTTGAGCGCTACCATTAGCGCTTGTACCGCTAGGATTCAAGTTGAATTCTGATTCCGGGTATGCTTCAGTGACCACGTGCTCCTTCCGCGATCTTTCCGCCTTGTCTGCGAAATATACTGACGTGAGTTTGCACGTAATTTTACCGAGGTTTTAGTTTCAGAGATTGAATATCATCCTTTTTAGCATACCTGGTTTAGCAGATCTTCCTGTTACCGCCTCAATCAAGCGCTGGTGACGCTCATCGTCGTCGTCGTCATCATCTTCACTTTGCTCATACTCCTCTTCGTCTTCGTCCTCCGAATTATCAGAGTTGACATCTCGTCCTTTTTCTCCTCTAAACTCTTCTTCCTCTTCTGAATCATCATCCATATCTTCGTCTTCATCCTCTGAACCCTCGTCATCTTCATCGCTGTTGAGGCTGATTTCCTTCGAGGGTTTACCCTTCTTAGCTTTCGAGCTTGGCAGTGCTTCGCCATCACTCTCCTCTTCACTAGCACCTTCCCCGTCAGCTTCGTCCTCGTCGATCTCTTCATCCTGGGAACAGATATGGTGTTCATTATGTACACAGGACAAGATGTTGGACGTCATAACCAACTAGAGAGGGCACTGATTTCCGTAGACTGGATGAGAGGCTGCCGCCTCGTGCCTGACCTCAAGTGTACAGCGAGGGGATGACGAAAACTTATTGACTGAAAAGACCTGATAGACGGGGACATCTCCATGTACAGATAATAATCCTCTGTACAGTGGTACTGTAAAAGATGCAGATACAGCTCAGGGTGGTCATTTGCGATCTAGACTTATCCATGAAACATGAACAAAAAATCTACTGAAACCAACATTTGCAGAAAGAAGACGCAAAGTTTGGCTCCGGAGCACTCGGCCGCCACTGGAAAAGTGGTATGTGTGAAGCCTATACCAAACGGATAGCCCCAGAAGTCACGTAGTTTTGAAGCTAGAATTCATGAGGTAAGCGTAAGTCTTCAAAATCTAGAACGAAATCTGTACCATAATGCTTCAGCTAGTCACGTGAAGACGCTCAATTTTGTATAATCAGAAAAAATTTGATATGCAACTATCTCCTAGATTGTAATTTACAACCTCCCTGGAACCATTGGATTTTGCAACTAGCGAAATGCAAATAACGGGACAAAGACAATTCGGTTTTATGAGTTTGTGAAATGCTGTCCCGTCAAACAGTTCTCAGTCCAAATTAACATCCCGAGAATCGTCCAGTAATTGAGATCACAAACTAACCTCGAAATCGGAAGGCAGCTCGTACTCCATTCTATCAATATCATCGAACCGCTTATTTTTCCCCCGCTCCTCTTCCGGAACTTCTTCTTCGTACTCGTATACATCACCAGCGATCTCCTTATCCGAATCATCTGAGTCATCGGTCCGTCGCTCCGCATTCACCCCAATTGCTCTGAGCAAGGAGTGCCCCAATCGAGGACCATTCCCAGCACTTCCAGAATTTCCACCCGTATTCTTCCCACCCTTCCGGCCTCCTGCCGAATTTCCACCTCCCCTTCGCCCCTGGCCCCTACCTCCTCGACCACCTCGACCTCCTCTGCCTCTACTCCCGCCCCGACCTCCTCCTCCTCCTCCTCCGCCTCGGCCTCCCGCGAGACGCGCCATCTCGACTTCCAAAATTCCTCACAGCATTCTCGACGAGCACACGAGCGCAACTACGAACAAGCCCACGGAAAAACCGAAATTCTCCGCCACTGCACCGAATTGCTCGACAGCCTCAGATTCTCCAGCACTGCGAGGATGCGCTCTGTTCCATCGCAGCGCTAGGGTTGGCGATGCTCCCGTGCTCCAAAACCCCAGGAACACGCAGGAACAGCACGCCCTCCTCGCACCCTAAACCCTACCACGACATCCATCCGCTCGTAACACTCGCAGACAACTGCGCGGTCGCAGTCCGGACCTCCTCGTCCCTTAGACCCTAAAGTCTCTTGTCGTGTATCCTAAAACCCTACCCTCGCCGACATTCGCTATCTCATCCCCTTGACCTATATTTGCTCCTCTCGATGTATCTTCCACGCTGTGAAGCCTCATCGCAGCCCACGTAATCCTAAGCGGAGATTTGCGGTCTGCATTTGAGTCCATAAGAAGGACTGTGTTGTGGATTGATGCAATTCAGAGCTCGTTGACAGGAAAGCGGAGTATCTCTCGAAGAGTGCTGTCGTACTTAGGTAGGATTGCTTGAATAAGCGAGATCCTCTTTTTTCTATGAGGTGACGATGAAGAATTTGAGTTCGGGAGAGGGAGAGTGAGCTGAGCAATGGTGTCTCTGCAGCAGAGGCTTATGGCCCCTGCGTGCTTGCATTGCAGGATGTCTCTGCCGTCGAGTTCGGTGTTCAGCATGGCTCTGTCCGTGAATGCTAGCCCGGCATTGTCCTCTGGACATGTGTCTGGGTATGGCGTCCCCGTCATGAGTCGGCCTGAGCGTTGCAGCCTTGCAGTGGGACGGAATGATTCTAATTTCTTTAGAGGAATGTGCTTGACTTTCTCTCGGAACTTTGCTGGGAGGGCTCAGCATAGGGCTGCCACAAGTGCGAGGCTGGCTTCTGTGGAGTTCACAACCGAGGAAGCCAAGATTGTAGATGACGTGAGGGAGACTTTAGATGGAGTAGAGGTTGATCCTTCGAAGAAACTGGAGGGAAATATGAGGAGACTTGCTGGGTCAAACATCATCATGGATATGAACATGGGTAGACATCACCTCGTCAAGTCAGCTGAATTTATTAAAAGTAGTCCCAAGGAGTCCGAGTGTCCTAAGGACGGACTCCCTGAATTTGCCCTTGTGGGAAGATCAAATGTTGGAAAGAGCTCGTTGATTAACGCGCTGGTCAACAGGAAGGAGCTCGCTCAAACCTCCAAAAGACCTGGTAGGCACTTCACCTCCCTCCCTCTTTCTGCGTCCGTCGAAGTTCACGCTATGTAGCTGTCAGCGAGTGATTCTGCACTTTTAAGCCTCTGTATGCACCGTAGCTGTCGTCAGATTTTGATAATGGTAAGCTTGACATTGGCAGTCAAACTTCCGTTCCCTTGTGCTGAAACGCTCTACAATGGTCGCTTTTTTACTCCTAACGTGAGAACCAGAACTCCGTGCGTTGCTGTGAACCTGTGAAACTCCAAGATGTATGTAAGTCGGATGTGCCTCGTGCGCCACAGCCTCCGCCTCTGTGCAGCCGAAGATAGTATGTGCGTCGCTCTCCAGAGTATATTCCCAGCCAAAATTTTGCAGCCTTCACGGTTGAACGAAAACCCCGTCAATTGTTTTGATTAGGTTTTCATAATGCTGAACTTCATTTTGCATTTACGATTGGCAATCGAACTTCCACGGGCTAACCGCGTAGTATCACTGATGACAAAGAGTTGTGATTATAAAAATTTCCTGATTACAGATAAATCTGTGATAAGATGGTTTGAGAATAGGTAGATGAACTCTTTGTTAAAGTGTGTCGTACCTCCTTGGGCAGTCTCTGACGTGGTCTCCCATTCTGTTGGTACTCTACCTTTGTACAGCGTCTTAAGTTTGTGTCGTTCGGCGTAACCGAACTACCGCACAGTCTTGCAGTATCCAACCCATCATTTTAACCCGTAGTCAGAAACCTTTTCAAGCAGCCAAACAACGAACTTATTATCGGCCTGGAACAGTGGAATTTCGTTTCGTTAGAAACAGCTATTGCCCCCTGACACTTACAGAACAGTGGTAGTAAACTTGGGTAAGTGCTTGGTTATGATTATACAGAATTCCACTGGCTGTGGTTCTGACCATAAACGATGGATGAAATATTCTTTATGAACTTGCACCCTTCAATGACACCCAAACGATAATATCCTTTAACCCACACCACTGTACAAATAGCTGGGGCTTTGTCACCCTGCCCTGGTTTTGTTGGCATCACCACGCTGTTGGAAGTCATGATTATAATTTTAATTCCACTGGCTGTGGTTCTGACCATTAAAAGATGGATGAAACAAATTGTATGAACTTCTGTGCTCAAAATTGTGCACACTCTGAGCTACGTATACTTAGCTACGTTCAGACGACACGTACTCACCGTGACCACACTGTAGTCCACCATGTAGTAATGGACTTGATTCGAATAAGAGCTGAGGTCCTTCTGTCTAGACTCTTGTACGCAATCTATCCGTTGCACCTCGTTGCCCGAACCAACCGGGTGTTGGATCAAAACCCGGCTTTAAGAAGTGCTTTCTTGAAGCAAGGCTTTGATCCAGCACTCGGGTGGTCCACTTAGTTGAAATGTGTACACTTTGGCTCTGTGAAAATGGAATGATGATCATCTCCCTCCATGACGATTTCCTCTTCGGTGCCGAGCCAGAAACCATTTCCTTTATGATGGGATGTTAACTTTCGGGAACCTGCTGCGGAACCTTATCCTTTGCTGCGAACTTATCCCTCAGGATTTACTTCTTACCAGTACTAAGTAGTGGTGGTTTTTTTGGCGAACCTGTGAATAATTTTTTGTGCTTGTTCTGTTCGTTCGCAGGCAAGACACAGCTCATCAACCATTTTCGCATCAATAACAACTGGTATTTGGTGGATCTTCCTGGTTATGGGTACAGACTCAACCCTTTTAGATCCTCATGCAGGGCTGAAATTTTACATCATTTTGGCCAAATGACAGGATGTAGCTTGTTAGTTTAGTATTTATTTAGTTTTTGTGGCGGACAGACTATCGATTATGGGGAGTTTTGCAGGTTTTTCTTAGTTCCCTCGCATTCATCTCGTGCTTACGGTGTTCATGTGTCCTCAGATATGCAAAGGCGCCTACTGCAGTGCGGACAGACTGGAACGAGTTCACTAAAGACTATTTTCTCCACCGTAAAACGTTAGTTTCAGTTTTGCTGCTGGTGGACGGGAGTATACCTCCTCTGAAAATCGACCTTGACTGTGCTGATTGGCTAGGTCGCAACAAGGTATTAATCCTGTCTTCCTTTTCCCGATCGATTTTGCACCATTTTCAGCTGACTGCTCTCAAAGTGGCTGTTGCACGACTGAGGACTACACTGTATCTGACTTATTATTAAAGTTTTTCCTAAGAGGTATTTTGGCGTCATGTAAATGTATTTCAGATCCCAGTCACAATCGTTTTTACGAAATGCGACAGGAGGAAGAAGAGAAAGAATGGAGGAAGGGCGCCGGCCGAAAATGTGAGGGATTTTGAGAAGCAACTGCAAGATTCGTTCGATCAGTCTCCTCCCTGGATCATGACTAGCTCTGCAACCGGTCAAGGAAAAGATGAACTACTGCAGCATATTACCCGTCTAAGAGATTATTGGAATAACTAAATGTGGAGGAATGAGAGTGCAAATAAGCATTCATTCAACGTCTAAAACCCAGAGTAGGAACCTGAGCCGTATATAAAGGGCAGTCCAGTCCAGACAACTACCTGTCAAAGAAAGAAAAGAACTGTCTATGTGAGTAGATAGTTTCCAAACGTGACGTGGATCCTTCCACGGAAGGAGAAAACAGGAGCGGATACATCTCAGTTCTTATGCGTATACAAGTCGCTCCATTATTGTACCATTTACTGTAAGATACAAATAAACTATGCTAAAGCATAACATCTATGTGAAAAGTCTTCCACTAATATGTCTAGAAAATAGAGTAAGTTACATTACAATCTACTGATCCGTACAACGTGAAGTGGCACTCAATATGCCAGAATTTACTTGTCAATCATGTACTTTGAACAAATTGCTGCCAAAAAGTAAATCTTCAGATAATTCGTACACCACGGCAAATCATAACGTTTGCCATTGTAGCAAGTACAACTGAAGCACACACTTTGAACTATCGATCAGCATAATTTCTCCTCACACTACTCTCATTCCAAAATAGTAACCCTCTTAATTTGCACTATCACAGAATAAAAGACATAAAATGGCAGTACGTTCTTTTCTCCTTCAAGTAGATGGTACGCCACATTCAAGCTCGTTACCAAAATACTCAGTCGAAAACACGAAATACCAAAACACGTGTAAAACTGACGAAGACAGTTGAGACAAACATCTGGCTTGTTACCGACATACTATGTCGCGAAAAACTGACGAAGAGAGATGAGACAAACATCTGCAAACGTCGTCTATCCACCCTACTGTACTAACACTGTCTACCAGCGTGCATCTACAGAGACGTAGCACTGCAACTGAAAATAACATTGTCAAGTCACAATCTCATATTCACTGAACAAGCCACTTTATCGATAAGATGTCGCGGTAGAATATATTTCCTTCTCGTACCCTTACAAATCTGGATTCCGTATCTAAAATAGCATTGGCGCTACCTCTTCTACACCCTAACTAATATCATCCTTCGCCACATTCACGTTTGATGAGCTACAAAAACCTTCCCAGGAAGGTAATAAATATGTCAAGATCAATCAAGTCTCGAACAATTGTCTAGTTGTCACCACCTTCGTTGACAACGACACAAGATAATAGTGAACCCGAAACCCCTAGAATTTTGAAAACGCTTCTCAGATCTCCTGTATGACAACTCTATCGGACATCAACTCGTCGGATATATTGGTGGCGAGAATATTCTAACCAAACAATTTCTTCAATCTCTCGGCAGCCTCAACAATGTTTTCCCTGTGTCCAAAAGCACTGATCCTAACAAAACCTTCTCCTCCAGGTCCAAATCCACTTCCTGGGGTTGTAACAATATGGGCCTCCTCCAAAATTTTGGCGAAAACATCCCACGAACTTTGACCGGGAAAGTGAACCCAAACATAAGGTGCGTTCTTGCCTCCGTATGTAGTTAACCCTACAGAGGTCACAGCCTCCACAATGATCTCAACGTTCTTTTTGTAGAAAGCGACAAGCTCCTCCATTGCCTGATCACGTCAAACTGTTTATTTAGAAATTTCGAAACAAACATGGACCCAGCAGTTCAACAAAGAAAAGGGAAAAAGGGTAACGAATATTGCTCGACTTTGTTCGTTTCTCGCAAACTTGAGAACGGTAGAAACATGTCAGATTCATGTCAGATTCTGTTTAGATTGTAAAACAGGCAATTCTCAAACAAAGTCTTCCTTTGGTAAGGCCCCTCAAAAGAACAGACAATCACAAATGATGCTCTAAGACCAGAAACATCCAAGCAGCTTGCACATTTTCGACACTTCCGGCACAGAAGAATACGATAAACTATGCTCGATATCCCTGGAAATAGAATGTTGGCACGGCTTACCTTCCAACCATCATCGGAAAGACAAGCCAGACCCCCAGCTTGGGCAATGTTGGATGCTCCGTTGAAGGAAGTAGTCATTACGCGGTTGAAGTCCTTAATAACAGGGAATCCATCGGCGTACAGCAACTCCTCAGGAACAACAGTCCATCCCAGCCTTACTCCGGTGAAACCAGCAAATTTCGAAAATGAGGAGATCTCAATAGCGACCTAAGACAAGAAACAGAAGTCGGCATTTAATACAAAAAAATATCCTCTTCTCTTGCAACAACGAAAAGTTAGCATTCACTGGCCGTTCAAACCTATTTTGTCTCCATCGTAATAGGAATTTCTATGATGGAGATACCCTCCATCCTAGAACCTAAAACATCCCAAGATTACACATGACGGTCATCTTGTTCGAAACATACCAATTTCACTACTAGTCTTCGCAACATAGAAGAAATTAATCACTGAAGTCCTTACCTCTCTAGCACCGGGAATCTCGTATATGGTCTTGGGGGAATCATCGGATATGTAGATTGAATATGCAGCGTCATAGACAATGATGGATCCATTCTTCTTTGCAAAAGCTACCAGCTCCTCCAATTGCTTCTTGGTAGCAGTCGCCCCTGTAGGGTTGTTTGGAGAACAAAAGAAGATAATGTCTGTGCGGGGAGCTGACGCCAGGTCAGGGAAAAAGTCGTTCTCCGGTGTACATTTCATATAGTGAATTTTATTATACTGCTGTGAATCTGCTTCATAGCCACCAGTTTGACCCATCATCACGCTGGAGTCTACATAAGCCTGGTGAAAACGTCCACAGGTAAAAGTGAGTACAAAAAGAGGAGATTGCACCACTACTCAGGCTGACATAACAGGTGCAAAGTAAACATTAGTAAAGCAGATTCAAAAAAAACAAGATGATTCAAAGATGACGTCAACAATCAACCCTACCGGATAGGAAGGATCTTGCACAGCAATCGTAACATCAGCTCCAAACATCATCTGCGGCATGGATCGTCCAGACTCCGTCAAGAAATTTGACCAAAAGAATGTAAGCAGAACAAAAAAAATACGTGCTTGACTTTGATAAGACATGATGAAATCAGTTGGGAAAAGAAGACAGACCTGAAGCCTTGCAATGTCGCATTTAGCTCCATCTGAAACGAAAACCTCACTTGCCTTGACACCTGTATCGGGGTGGAGCTTTAGGTAGAATTTCTGAAGGGCAGCTCGAAGACTCTGCAGAAGATCGAAAACCAAGTCAAAAACAAGACAAGAAACATGCAAGTAGTACGAAATAGAACTGTCTGTTTCAACTTTCACAGTCTCAACCAGCAGAAAAAAACGCACAATATCAAAAAGAAAGCCATCTTAGTGGGATGTCAAAGTGAATCGTCTTCGTCAGAATCACGATCTGCCTCAAGAGGTAAAGACTTACCCCTTCACCCTGCTCAGCACCATAACCAGAGTAACCTTCCAAGGTGCTCAATGCTTGAGCTTTCTGTACGAAACGAAGAATCGAGTGAACGGGAGAACGAGAGTCAGAGAACACTGAGGGCCTTACTGCAACCACATCATTTTCAAATGAAAAGTACCGGTTACTAGACTCACTGCATTAGACTACAAAGACTCGTATGTTCCACAAAGGTTTGAAGTAGATCCGACATGTTGGACACACAAAACTGTTACTTTCCAGCCTGAATAAACTTTAGGTAATGTGCAAGTCCAGTTTCGTTGCTCTACACACGGCAAGTTACCTCGCAAATCTGCTTGACTTTGATAGGCAGAAGAAACCTACAGCAAGCTTTTGATAACCTTCCCTCTTGATCCACATTATCTTACTTGGAGCTAAAGCGTGGTTCTTACTTGGAAAGAACGATGAACAAAAAAAAAGTGAATGAAAATGTGATTCAGGGATGTAGCTGTACATACGGCTTTCATTCCCTCGGCGATGACCGATGGGATCGGTTCAGTTGTGTCTCCAATACCAAGACTGATGACCTTGGCATCTGGGTACTTCGCAATGTGTGCAGCACGTCTTCTTCCAATCTAGCCATACATGGTAGCCAATTAGTGAAGAATGCTTAAGTGAAAACATGCCACATCACCAGGAATTCCACCATTTGGTTGCAGACAAGTTTCGAATGTCATCTTCACAATTCTCAAGGCTCACCTCGGGAAAAAGGTAACCAGCCTGAAGTTTCGCGAAGTTGGCATTTCGCGTAACCTTAGTGGCGTAAGCTTCACATTCAGACCACGAGAGATGAGTCAATTTCACTAATTTCATTGACAGGATTAATACCGATTTCGCAGATGAAAGAGGTGCAAAAATGGCACAAAATTTGGCATACTGCAGAGGATTGATGCAAGAGAGAAAAGAAAATGGGCAGACATGTTTTCTCCTTCTCCAACGACTCCACAGCACAACTCGCAACTCGAATTCCCCGACTTACAGTCATCCTGTCAAAGACGAGAACCTGTCAGACATCCAGCTTCTATGTTGTGCTATTCAGCAATGCCGATGTCTCATAACACTTTCCAGAAATTCCAGTTGCACGCGAGACGAAAATCGCACAAGAGAAAACGTAATCAATGAGCACCCAAAAATCAAACCTTGGCATTGCGTCATTGCAGCGAAGAGACGACGGCGAGAAGGCCGATGAGAAAGACACATCCTTCGCGGAGTTGACGTTCGCGAAGGTCGACGACACTAGAGCTTGAGAGGCCATAGCCATCGTCCCTGATTGCAGTTCTCAAAATCTGCACTCGGAATTTGCAATTCGTCGCATGAGAAGAATTGCTTCTGTGAACACCCTTTCGAAATGGAAGGGTTTGGAAAGGATAGACCGGCCTGGCCTGCGAAAAGCCTGATACCTTCGGCCCTTGCCGGTAGCCCCTGTGCCACTGTCTCCCTTTCAAAATGACCATTACGTGGTTTTAAGACAGCCATATTTTCAACTTCCCAGGTTTAGCATCCACCGATGTTCACTGGGTGGTCACACGGAAATAAAATATGTTCCATATTATCGAGAGATACTTCCTATATTCTATATCTCAATTATCAATAGCATAGGAGTATATATCAACTGTCTATTTGTATTTGCTATTATATAATTTCAATGTATTTGCTCTATCTAGAAAGATAGAATAACACTATTTGACATCACTTACATAAAAGGTTAGAGAACATAATGCATTTTATTGACTTTTCCACAATCTCTCACCAACATGTGGAATCAATACAATGTTACATAGAACTCCAAAGTTAAATGAACAAAAAAATTAAATATCTGTTACATAGAACACCAAAGTTAAATGAACAAAAAAACTAAATCTCTGCCTACATAGATATGTAGAGAGTCTGATTGTTAGTGTTATCATCAGTTGAGAATCAATAGTACTCAAAAAACTCCTCGTTGCAAATTAAAAAACTTTGAATTATGACAAATTTTGATGTGAATGGCTGAAATAAAAACTTATGTACAAGTCAAGTTGACAATATTTCATAATTTTGATGATTTATTGATGAATAAACTTAATGAGAGGAGATAGTTCAACTTTATGCCTAAAACTTGGACAACTTACTTGATTTTCTGTATAGTTAAACACAATCTGTTCGTAGAATATTTTTAAATGAATAAAAATTTGGATTTTAATTGCACTATTGTCATTTATCAATTAATCAACTTGTAATGAATCTTTGAGATTTAGTATTTTAAAGTATAAAATTAAAATGTAGAAGCCTTCAAATTGTTTCTACGTGATGCTGATCTATATGTTATTCTCTCACAAATTTTGACTTTAAAATCTGTAGAATGATTCTATACATATAGTATTGAAAGTTTTGAAGTATTTTCAGTTAAGAAATCACCCCAAAATTCCATTATTTCAAAGAAACTCATATTCTTAAAATGAGTTTCTTGTTATCATAGAGTTGTTGTAATAGAGTTCTTGTTGAAATATGAGTTTCTTTATTTTTCTTTTTCTTTATGTACCTCAGATGATATTTCATCATCTGAGGTACATAAAGAATATATTTTATTTTTAAAAATTCAAAATAGGTAAATTGACATTTCTCTCATGATCATTGAATAAAGATTTTGAAGTCAATTAAATCCATTGAGAATTTCAAAAGAAAATAGATTGAAATTTCACTCATTTTGAATATAGCCATAATCTCGAAAACCTCAATTTTTTGAGACAGAGTTTTAATACATACAAAATCCAAATCTCAATGAATCCCAAGGTTATAAATTTTTTAATATATCATCATATTTAATGATATTTTTTAATTGTAAATCAAGATTGGTTGGTTAAACTACTGTATGTTAACATAAAATTTGATTGACAAAAGTTATACAAGCAATATCTCATGGTATGATAGTGAAATCTGCAATTTTCAAAATTCAAATCTGTTCCAAATAAAAAAAATTCATTTTTATTTTTAAAAAAATAAAAAATTCCAGGAAAAATATTTTTGTGAAAAAATTCCTGAATAAAAAATATTAAAATTATTTTTTTCAAATACCAATTTCTAAACGATGTAAATTTTAACATATTAAATATAATATGTATTTATATGATGCTTAAAAAATAATCTCTATTCAAAATTTTTGAACTTCTTATGATGCTTTATATATATATATATATATATATATATATATATATATATATATATATATATTATGTTTATATTTATATATGTATATATACTATTTATTTTCAATTCAAAAATAATTTTTTTAATAAAATGTATATCTTTCTCTCCGTTTTGAAAATAATGCTATTTTGAGTCTATAATAATTCCCGATTTATTTCATTGATATTTTCAACATAAATTTTTTTCTCTATTGAAATTTAAAACTAAGATACAAAATAATGTAAAATTTAACAGTAATTATATAATGAATGAATATGAGTATTATATTATACATCAAATTCATTTTAATCATTTGCATATGTTGGAGTTCAATCTTATATTACTCTTCAATTTGATTTGAATAATAGAAAAAGTTCTAGATACAAAAATGTTTAAAACAAATATTTGTAAATTATGAATTCAAATAACTAATTATAATTATAGAAAACAAATACATATGTATGTGAATTGAATGATCATAATGATGTAGATGATAACACATGATCAAAAATTACGTACATTTCAAAATTTCTTGTTTTCAATTTTACTATTGAATACATTTATTTACTATCATCACAAGTGAATTGTTGATTCATATTAAATATTAAATATCCTTTTGTAAACAATTAAAATTTTCTTTAAATGAATAAATAAAGAGCTACATGAAGCTTCTATATTATGATATATTTCAAATCAGTAATAAATACTCACATGATAATGAATACTTTAATTTTATTTCTAATTTTTATTTTCAATTTTTCTACATATTGTATATCATAAAAAGCATATAATTTTTTATTAAAAATTAAAATAATTAATTTGAAGTTTTTTTTCATAGGAAAACAATTAATTTATCTTTTATTCATTTATTGATACAATATATTTATTGTAATGCTTGGTTTTTCTTCAAGCTATCATTCATAGTGTTTAATTATTGATTCTTAGGAGAAAAGTTTATGAAAAGATTTTTCAATTTTAATTGCAATTATTGTGATTTAATGTGTTAATTATTGTGAAATAAAATAAAATAATTTGATGGAAATTTCTAAATAAAAATAAATTTTAAATTTAAAACATCTTTGCATTTAATTGAACATAGAAATTTTTTTAAATTTTTTTCTGAGATTTTGGACATAACTTGAGTTAAAATTGTTATCGTTAGATACATAGTTATACAATTGTGTTTTTTTAGAAAAAAATATATAAATAAGATAATTTTTATTTTGGTTATGATTCAATTAATGTTCACTACGATTAGCTATCAAATCTTGGTGAAAAAATTAGACTTCCTTCTAAATCTTGTAATTGTATATATTTATTTGTATTATATTGAATATTAGATTTCATATCATGAAATTTAATGACTATAAATTAGCACTTGATTTTATTCAACTTAAAAAATATATTTTATTATTTTGAAAAAAATATATCTTTTAGTGAAAATTTGAAATTTAGAATTTTCAAGTTGATCAATGACATGTTGACAGCTAAACATGAGAACAAATAAGATTAAAAAATATTTAGATAAATTAATGACATAGAAAAGTAATATTATTTTCATAATAAAAATTAATGAGACTTATCATTATTAAGCTTAATGAAAATAAACATATAATAATTCTTATATGATATAGATAGTATCATATATCTTAGTTATCATTGTAAATGAGAGAGATAGAAAACATAATCTATGGGTATTTAGAAAAAAGTTTTTTGTAAAAAGTTATATGAACAATGAAAGCTTTCAGATGTTTTGAGCTATTTTTTAATTTTTAAACAATTTAAGTTGAGAGATGAGAGAACAAATTACGTGGATGAGTGGATTTGACAAGTTGAGAGATGATTGGATTTGACTATAAATCTATTATAATAAATATCATACTACTATATTCATAACGAAGTATTGGTTAGCCATTTGAGATCTATTCAATACAAAATTTTAAATATATTCAAAAATATTTTTATCTAAAATTTTAATTGTTGAAAAAAAACCGTAAAATTTCATCCAAATATACTTGACCAAGTTGTGAAATTGTAAGCTCCATACATGTATGAATGTATTTTTTATGGAAATAAATGAAAAAGTTTATTGAGTTTATCGTAGTCATGATTAAGTTTAACTATATATAATTGAATCTAGCTATAAATTATATGCTTGGCAGAATAAAAAAACAATATAAGTATAAACAAAATGAAATATGAAATAACTTTCTTTTGTATCTTGTGCATGAGCATCATTGTTTTGTCTTTTTATTAAGAATAAAGTTTTAAAAGTTTTGAATAATGAGTGCATATGTTGTGTCAAATTTTGTATATATATTGATGAAAATAATATTTATCTATTTACATAAAGAGTTTCAAAAACGTAAGTGATTGTTAGTGCAAAGATCATAGAGGTACGATTCTTCTAATGGGGATATGATGTAATTATCATTTTCAATCTATGCAAAACTAAATTATAACCAAGCCAAAGTTTAGATGAACCACATACAAGATCCATGTGTTTTTATCATTGTTGAGAAGTAAGAAGATGCTATAATAAATTGGTTGGTTGTTGAATATTCAACTTGTTCAATTGACAAGCAACACAACTTTAAACATCAACCTTCATAGATTGTCGAAACTTGTAACAATATTACATTACATTGATTATGAGCTTTCTATAATTATTTAGATTTTCACATGTAACGCTATGATATATCATGACAATGTGATGAATTTATTGTTATTTTGATATAATATGTTGATACATTGTATCAACATCTATGAATCCAATCAAAACATGAAGACTCAAATTTTTGTTTTAATTTTCTTCTTGCAATAATTTCAAACAAATTTCTTTCTCTTTTTAAACACTTGTAAGTTGGTTATATCTATTAGTTTGAAATTATCTACATGACATAATTAAGGTTTTTTGTGTAAGATTATATGCAAGTTTTTTTTTTGCCTTTGAGTTTCACAATCTTCATTCTAAATTATATAGGTTCATTCTATTCATCAAATGTGTCATCCAAGAATTATCTTCTAAGTTTCCACAATGATTGTAGCTCAATTTTCATTACAAACACCTTTTCATCTAAGTAATACTTTAATATTTTTTGCCAACATAATTTCAATGATTTAGGATATTATCAAAGTATATTTGCTCAATCGCTTTTGATTTTCAAGCAAAAAAGTCCATCATTTCAGTTTTTTGTTGT